GGTTTTAAGTAGCCACAAGGATGCTATTAGACATAACCCAGCATCACAGGTTTCTCCACAGTTCTCCTTCTGTTATTTTTTGCCAGCACTGGAGCAGGGGGCCTGACACCGCCTGGCCCCGTAGGCAATCTGCTGCGGCGTGCTGCGAAGATAACAAAGCACAATCCCAGAAATGCCAGGAAAGCATCTCGTTGTCTGACCCCAGCGACGCAATCTTTCCTGAAGTCTGCAGCCCCTGATTCCATCAGCTGCTGACGCAGACGACCAAATCAAAGGGGATAAGCTGCACCTTGTGGTTCCTGAGGGGCAGTTCGTTGAAATGCGAGTTCCAAACTTAGGCTTTAAAATAAACATATCAAGATTAACAGGTTGGTCTTTGTTTCAGGCACAATCAGCTCGACTGTTTTTTTTTTTTTTTTCTTGTTGTTGTTGATGTCCTTGGTGTTTTTAACATGGGATGCCGTTTCCTGACGAGTGTCTCTGCTCCAAGAACCTGCGTCCTTTTGTCACCTTGGCTTTCTTCTGCCTTTTGGGGTTTTTACTCCTAGGTGATCAGTTTAGCACCGGCTCAGGCTAGCCCCTAAGGCTTCCTCACCATCAGCCCCGTTAAGCAGCCATTTTACTCTGCCCTGTGCTTGCAGCGACTTAACCGCTTGGACCGGCCACTGGTGAGCGTTGTCAGCATCGGGTAATAATTCTTCTTTCCCCCAAATGGGTGAACGGCGCCCATGGCCAGGCTAGGGCAAGCCTGCTCTCGTAATAAGCTGTGGTAGATGTGGAAGAAACCTCCTCCTTCCACCCAGGGAGGGAGGGAAACGGACGCAGGCCACAGCAGTCCAGCACGGCGAGGGCTGCAGCGGGCTTCTCTCCATCCCAGCACAACGTAACCTGGAAAAATGTCACCGCACGTCCCAAGGCAGAGAGGGACACAAATGCTGCGCAATTTTCTATCTGAATTAAGCAATCCCTGCAGTCAGTTTTGAACAGCACAGGAACATGCTGCGTTCTGAGTTAGTGGAGGGCAAGTTTTAGAGAAAACTGGGAAATTTGGAGAAAACTTGAGACTTGGAGAAGTGGTCAGCTGGCGAGAGAAGCCCATACTAAACCAAATCTGTCTCAAGAAAACAACGTTTAGGTTGTTAGCGTAGGCTGGGAAGGCACCAGCTGGGAGCAGTTGCAAATTTAGTGCACTGAATTTCCACGCCCGGGACCATTAAGTCACATTCCCTTTCATTTACGGGAGGAGAAGAAAACCTTTTGCCTCCTGGTCCACTAGTGAAAAAGAACGCATTGACCTTTATGCCGGACGCCCGAAAGCAGGGGGCACTGCACTTTACAGCGTGCGATTTGGCCGGCAAACGTACGCTTTTTTAAGCACCCTGCCAACATTTACCCAATTCAAAAATCAAGATGCAGATGTAAGCAGGCCACATCTTTTTTTAACACCAACTTAACACATACCTCACACGTGTCTGTCTGAATTACCCAGAAACATTGTGACCAAGTCTGTTTGCATGAAAGATTGTGAAAGCAACCTGGATTGTTTCAGCCCGCGTTATTCAAGCCTGCTCTTCCCAGAACGGGCAAAGTTCTGCCATTTATTTCGAAGAGATCAGATCGCGTATCTGCTTTTGAAGCTTTCTTGCTCTCCTGTTTCTAGTAAGGGGTGTAATTTTAGTTTTGGCATTGGCCTTGAGCGACTCTGAGCTTGCAATCGGGACCCGGGAAATGCTGCACTGCTTAGGAGATCCATAGATCGATGTTATGCCAACAAGAAACAAAAGAAAAACAACTGTCGGGGAAAGACTGCCCAGCGACCTGCAAGTTTCCGCGGCAGGGGGCTTGCTCCCGAGACTTAAACTAGGAGGGAGGTTTAAGACCTAAAGCCGTGCCTGTTGGGTTTGGATGCTGATTCCTCCGGTGGTTTGTCAAAGAAGACTGAGGGTATCAGCCCCAGAGAGAAATGACAGCCGGGAGCCGGCAGCAATGTCACGAGCACAGCTGACCAAGCCCCCAGCCTGGCACCTCTGGGTGGGGAAGGTGCCACCTCCTTCCTCCTCCTCCCCCAAAGACATGAACTCCTTGGGCATCCTCCCAGTATATCACCGGCCTTCATCTCTCCACGCAAATCCTTTCTGGACCGGTGGTTCCCAGCACATCCTCTGCCAAGACGTGGACTTTGTGCAGGAAATAAAAAAAAACAAACCCAAACCAAAAACCTATCTTCTAGTGCCAGAGTTATTAATAATTAACGTTCGCAAGAGGGAACTGGTAAAACCAGTTTGCTAAAATAAAGCCGGGCATTTTATTATTATTTTAGGCTTTAATTCAGTCATCGCTAAGTTACTCAGGCTGATGTTTGCAAATGACGCAGGGCCGGGACTTCACCCCTC